CAGAAGCTCAAGGCTGTTAATAATGCACCAGCCTCAGTGCTGTGATATAAAAAAAGCTTTCTTTTACATATTTCTGTACAGTAGTTTGATCATCACTTCAAAGTTCTCTCCAGATATTTCATTCATTCTTTATTGATCGGTATTATCCTGTCTCACATTTTCATTAGCCTTTGCCTAGCACTGATGAAAGAGATACACATGGTGATAAAATACAGCTGCTGGTGTTTGTCTTGCAAGGCAGGCTAGGGTGAAGAGCTTATTGCTTGCAAGCTTCCTCTTGAAATCCTGACATGTAGGTTGGAGCACAAAAAGGACCTTTTCTGAATAACGTTGGAGGTAGCGTTCGGCCCATAAGTATTTGTGTTTCATCACTGCATCAATGCAAATCTAGAAGGCTGTTATAACCCAGTCAGTTCTGTCTTCAGTAACAGGAAAGTTTTAATTGCTTTTACTTCTGGTGCTTCTTAACCCAAATGTGATGCGTGTAATGTGTGCTTTCATGTTGAGTTCAAGGAGAAATGAAATCCCTTCCAAAATTTTTGAGATAAATCATTTAAATAGGGCCTGTTTTTGTGATTCTTTCAAGAAAAAAAACATTTTCTGCTTTTTGTAGAGGAAAAGCCTCCCACTGCCTTTATCCATGTCCTGAGTTCAGCCAACTTGTTTACAAGGACTGTACTTTAAAATCAAAGCACAGTAAGGACTCAGCTGTGACTTTGCCTGGATTATAGCAATGACAAGATCGCTAAATACCTGCATTGTGTTATTGCTGTAAGCTCTATGGAAGAGGCAGCCTTTGCTCTTTACTTTTTGTGCCATCTCCTCCAAAGCATACCAGACTCTGCCCCAGGTGAAACATCCATCCTGACCTTCTCATGGGAAGCTCTGGTTTGACGCTGTCTCCATAAACCCCAAACTGGGATCAAGGTTAGCAGATTAGCCTTTTACCCTCATGGCAACAGGAACTGCCAACCTGCTAGAGATAAAACCTTGGGAAACCAAGGTGGATCTGCAGAAGAAAAGACTGATGAGCAAACCAGGCTTTGGAGGAAACCATCTCTCACCACTGGGTCACCTCTGTTAGGGAAGCTGGGTCTCCCTGTGATAAACTCCTCTGCACTTGACCAGCTCCAGTCTGGGTTTGGAGAGTCCCTGCAGATGAGCCAGCCCCAGCGCATTGCCCAGGGACATCCCACTGATGGAAGCAATGAGTGTTTGCCACACTTCCAGCTATGTCCATAGAGCACCCCTGTGGGCTCCTGTACCAGAGCAGGCTGGCACCAAAATAAACCCCAGCAGCAAAGCCAGCTTTCCTCAGTCTTGCATACGGAAGTTTCAAAGCTTCTGTTCCCTTCCTGGGCCCAAACAGCAATTCGGGAGAGAGAGCATAATTGCTGTGCTCTATTTCTTTAGTTAGCTAGGAACTTGAGGATTCAGTACAGCCTCCCTGGCTTGGATAGATGGTGACTGAACTCTGCCCCTCCAGCATAGTCAAGCTCCAGGGAAAGAAGGAAAACCATTGCAGAAGAAGCCAGAGATTTCTTCCAGTGTGTGGATACTCAACCCCAGGTTGGGCCATGTATAACACTGCCAGTGGGAACTTAATTCCACTCCCCAGCATTAATGTGGGGATGTGCAGGCAGCAGAGAGCTTTAGCTGTGGGCTTGGAAAACATGGTGTTCAGTTTTTAGAGGTTTGGGGTTTTTCTGTGATGCCTTAAAAAGCAATCACTGCAATTAATTTTGCAGTGCTGTGGTTATTTCAGGGGGCTGGCTGAAATTATATGCCATAGGAATAAAGGCCTGTTTCCCCCGTCACCTCCCAGGACTTAATGGATGTAAAAGTGAAGGCAGTCCGACTTCTGTTTTATTTGATGCAACTAGTTTTAGTCACAGACAGTGCCGATTCCCCCAAAGCTGCACGAATGCACTTGTTTTGACATCCTTACTATCATAGAATTATTTTGGTTCTAAGATCATCTAGTTCCAACCCACTATCTACAAAGCCTTGTTTTAAGCCAGTGTGTGTTCGAAGTCACATACTGCAGAATATTACTGAATTTGTCACTGACAATCCTCATGCAGAGGAGTCACCAAACTCCAATTAGAAACAATGAAAAGTAAATTTAATAAATAATATAATACTACATGTCTGGCTGAAAAAGAACTTTGGACCAGAGGGCTTTTTTCCTTATTTCTCACTGTTTCCTTCTCAAAGTACAGTGAAGTATTTGCAGCTTGAGTTAATCCAAAACATGAGCGTTGGTGTCGTCCACTTTAAATGACCTGGTGATACAAACATTTTTAACCCTGCCCCAAATTGCCCAACATGAACAGTAAGCTGTCACCTCCAAACCTGGTGTTAAAATCACAGTTCAGGTATGAATCAGCAGTTCATTTACAACTTTAATTATTAGTCTTTACTGAATCTGGCAGGCTGGAAACATAAAGCTCTTTCCTGCATTAAAACATCTTCAGGCAATGCTAGAACTTTGCAGAGCTCTATAAAACATACTGTCTCTAGTGAAATCAGTCTCTTTGATGTCGGTCTCCATTTGGGGTTTCTACAAAAACTAGGCAAATATTTGAGAAGAGAATCAAATAGTTACATTACAAATAAAGCAACTTTCTTTCCTTTCATATGAAACATATTAAAACTGGTATTCCTGAAATTCAAAATACTTTTTTGGCAGAAGAGAAGTGGGTTTGTTAATTGCATGGATTTGCAGCAGGTGATTGTCAGCTTTTAAATGTCACAGCAGATATTCTTTAACCTCTTTTTATCCCCTAACTAGTAAGAGAGCTCTTCCAAAATACTTGTGAGACACAAGAAGTGAGCTGCAGGTTAGAGGCTGAGAGATGATAGAGGGTACAACCCAGGGGTGTGGAGAGAGCAGTTTGATGTCTGCTGCTGACCTGCTGGGGAACACATGAGGAGTGTGCGTCTGCAGCTCTCACTACCCATTGCCACCTGCCTTGCAGCACTGTCTGCCCTATGAGGCTGCTTTGCAAGGGCACATTTTCCTGCTACATGCCCAGGTCCTTTGCATCAGATACCCCAAGCTTGGTCCCTTTCCTTCCCACCATGGGGTGCAACCCTGGCTGCATCCGCAGGCACCAGGAAAAGCAGCCTTTACGAGCATAGGAAGCATCACATAGGTAAGGATGGGCACAGCCTGTTCCAAAACTACTGTGTGAAATGGCACCTGCAGACTCCCTGTACAAGCTCCTCCTGGATGGCCAGCTATGCCTAAACATTACACAAGAATGTATTACAAGTCACATTTAATATGGTAATATATATAGCCAAATACACACACATAGGGATTCATGCATTAAATTGTTTGCAGTTTCTTCTTTACCACTATTGATTCATGCCAGCTCTGCTTTGATTTTAAATCCATCCAGGCCTCGGTGTTCTTCGGCTTTGATGTTCAGACTCCTCAGATAGTAATTTATATGTGTTTTATTTATAACCTCATGACAGGCCACAGTTTTCCTGTGACAAAAAGGGTGCTTTAGAATGATTAAATTGTCAAGCAGCTTCTGAGCATGCACTGAAAAATTGTCCAAGCTAATTGTGTCTTTATGGTTTTTATGAGAATTTACATGTGCGAATTAGATATTTTATTGCACAACCACCATAGGAGTTGCTGCAAATGCATACAAGCAGGTTTGGCAGGTGTACTTGGGCAAGAGTCAAGAGCTGCTATATGCTAAAAGCCTGGAGGGTGGCTGAAACCAGGCTCAGTCTTAGTCATTGACATTGGACCAATATTATCTTTGTAATGCATCTTAATCCTTGTCTGGCTGCCCTGGTTTTGGTCGGGATAGAGTTAATTTTCTTCCTAGTAGCTTGTACAGTGCTGTGTTTTGGGTGTAGTTTGAAAGTCATATTGATAACACACTGATGTTTTAGCTGTTGCGAGTAGTGCTCGCCGTATGTCAAGCGCTTCATTCTCTCATGCTCTGCCAAAGAGGAGGAGCACAAGAAGCCTGGAGGGAGAAGAGCCAGGACAACTGACCCAAACTTGTCAAAGGGATATTCCATACCATAGAATGTCAGCTTCCATATAGGAACTGGGGGGAGTGGTTGGCCAGGAGCAATTGGTCACTGTTTGTGAATGGGTTGGGCATCAGTCAGACGGTGGTGAGCAGTGGTGCTGTGCATCACTTGTGTTTCTTGGGTTTTGTTCCTCTCTCTCCTCCTGCCATCTCCCTTTTCACAACAATTACTATTATTATGTTTTATTTTATTTCAGTTATGAAACTGTTCTTATCCCAACCTGTGGGGTTTACCTTTTGCTTTCCCTGACTCTCCTCCCCATCCCACTGGGGAAAGGGGAGCAACTGAGCAGCTGAATAGTGCTTAGTTGTCAGCTGGGGTTAAACCATGCGACTGGCTTCATTTTATTATATGCAAGGGTGCATGTATTCTGCGTTTCCCTTGATAGGGAGCTAGTCCTTTTTGGACAACCACAGACCATGCAGCTGGTGAAACTAATGTATCTAATGTGAGTATACAGCTGCTGCTTTCCAGGAGTAATTTGTTAGTAATTATCTGGGAAACAGGGATAATATCCATCTTAGTGCTCTGCCCAACTCTGTTTAAAGAAGAGTTTAAGTGACAAACTGCTCATACACAAAAAGGAGTGAAGGGAGTTTATCTGCAAATCTAAACATGGCTCACGTTTTGCACAAACCCAGGGGTGCCTGTGCTTTGCCAGGTGTTGAGGGAAGGATGAAAGGTGATGGATGAGCTGAGCAGGAGCCTGGCCACACCTGTGGTGAATCTGGGGTTTGTGAGCATGAAGTTAAATCACCAAACCCTGCGTGCTAAAGTCAGTGCAGGTGAGCTCAGGTCAACCAGACTCAAAGTGTAAGAGTCTGTCATTAATCATATTTGCAGAGTCTCATTCAGCCATAGCTTTGAAGGAAGGCAGGAAGGAAGGGAGAAGGAGAAGCAGCAGCAGCAGCAGCAGCATTTTTAACACTGCTGGTGCAGAGGCAAGCAGAACATGTGATGTGTAAGTCAGGCCTGTCTTTCCTGTTGCCTTTCTCTGCAGCACAACTCCTGCTCATATGTGGGGTACGACTGAAGACCTGCACCAGCCAAAGTGACCAGTGAATGATGGAATCAGGGGATTTTAAGATGTTTAAATTGTGCTGTGCAGTTTGATAGGGCTTTATGCAGCCAGTGGAACAAGAGAGGCTGCCCTTTAAGGTAACTTAAGGGATGACTTTGATGCTGAGAAAATATCTGGAGACATCTGATTTTATCTAAGCATCCTTTGAGGAGATTCAGGAATAGCACATTTGGGGTGGAACTCTGTAGGGAGGGGAGGTCTGAGGAAAGGTTTTGGTTATGACATGATGTTTCATAGACTGCAATAACAAGTATTCTTTGGCAAAGCAGCCACATAGGTATGTTTGGCTGTAAATATATGCCAAATAGTTACAGCAAGCTGGGAGAGCTGCCTAATGGGGAGGTGAGGTAATTCTTCCTCTTTTACTCTGTGCTGGTTAGACCTTGTGAAAGTGTCATACTTGGGCTTTATCCTCAAAAGAAGATAAAATTGGGGAAACTAAGCCAAGAAATGTACAGCAAAAATGGGCTGAGAATAGAAGCTCTGGGGAGAGCAGCTGTGGTGTTAAAGCTGTTTACTGTCAAGAGGATATAACTGCAAAGAGATAAGCTCATGTTGTGTGGGTTGTGGGTTCTCCTGGGCTGCTTCAGAAAAGAAGAGAATGGGCAGTTCTCTATGTCCTTGCTGGTTGGTAAACCAGGATAGATGAGAAGAAATGGTATTATGGGATATATAACTTAAGATGAGGATGGAGAAGCACTGGGATAGATTTGCCTTGGGAAGTTGTGGAGTTGTAGTCACTGGGGGTCAGAAGTCAAACAAACATCTGCCAGCACAGATAGAGCTGACCCTGCCTCAGGCAGGGTGATGGGCTGCCTGGCCACTGCTCTGCGGCTCCTTCCAACCCTCTTTGTTATGATGACGTGGAAACCAAATTCTGCATAAAAATAACTCAATGTGTTGCCTTATTCTGTATTTTCCTCTGCAAGGAAGGAGGCTCAGGGTGTGCCCAGGAGGAAGAGAAGTGGGGTAAAGCCACTGTGTCAAGGGGCACAATGTGACTGAGCTGTGAAATCAATATAATTATTACTTTTATCCTTCCCTTTATTAATAATGGACTTTTTTTTCATGCTATCAAGGTAGCCAGCTGTTGCCTAAGCCATTAATGCACTGTGCTCTGAGCTATGTTTTGCAGGCTTTTTTCCCCCCCTCTCAGGAGAGATTTTCTTATGAAGTGTTTTATGAAGGCAATGGAGCTGGATGCTGGGGTACAATGCACTGTGGCACTTTGTGAACTGTTCCTCATGTTCTGGAACAAGCAGTGACTTTCTGACACAAGAATCCTTTGCTTCCCAACTCCACAGGATAACTGGTATTGACAATAATAAAGCACATTGTGTGCACTGGGGAAATAATAAGAAAAGGATTTGTAAGTGGTTTGGAGTGGGATTTTAAAGGCTGGCATCCACGTCTGAGGGAGCTGTCAGTACCAGCAATGTGCAATAAAAAAGTCAGCAAGTGACTATATAGAATCCCAGACAGGTTTGGGTTGAAAATGATTTTAAAGCCCATCCAGTTCCAACCCACTGCCATGGGCAGGGACACCTTCACTAGAGCAGGTTGCTCCAAGCCCCTGTGTCCAACCTGGCCTTGAGCACTGCCAGGGATGGGGCAGCCACAGCTTCTCTGGGCACCCTGTGCCAGCACCTCAGCACCCTCACAGGGACACCTCACAGGGACACCTCACACTAAACCATCTCACCCAAGGCTCTGTCCAACATGGCTTTGAAAACTGCCAGGGATGGAGCATTCACACCTTCCCTGGGCAGCCCATTCCAGTGCCTCACCGCCCTTACAGTAAAGAACTTCTTCCTTATATCCAATCTAAACTTCCCCTGTTTAAGTTTTAACCCATTACCCGTTGTCCTATCACTACAGTCCCTAATGAAGAGTCCCTCCCCACCATCCCTATAGGCCCCCTTCCGATACTGGAAGGCTGCTATGAGGTCTCCACGCAACCTTCTCTTCTCCAGGCTGAACAGCCCCAACTTCCTCAGCCTGTCTTCATACAGGAGGTGCTCCAGCCCCTGATCATCCTCGTGGCCTCCTCTGGACTTGTTCCAACAGTTCCATGTCCTTTTTATGTTGAGGACACCAGAACTGCACACAATGCTCCAGGTGAGGTCTCACAAGAGCAGAGCAGAGGGGCTGGATCACCTCCTTCGACCTGCTGGTCACGCTCCTTTGGATGCAGCCCAGGATACGGTTGCTTTCTGGGCTGCGAGCGCACACTGCCCACTTATGTTCATTTTCTCATTGACCAGCACCCCCAAGTCCTTCTCTGCAGGGCAGGAAAAAAAAAAACCAGGAGAGCGCCAACACAGTCCCTAATATCTTCCTGGTATCTAATCTACACCTATCCTAAATGTACCTAAATCTAATCCAAATATGCCTGTTCAAAAGCCTTTGTGTATAACAGCATGAGTGTCCCAGGTTTGAGAATTACAGTCCCTCTCGTCCTTCTGGAGCTAGGCTCAGCAGTCTGAGGTCTGGCGGCTGTAGTGGTAGGGTAATGTGCCCTCAGAGTCCTGCCTCCCCACCTAAAGGGGTTCCTGTGCTCTGCGTTCATCTGCTCAAAACCAAAGTTAAATAAACCCTGGAAAGCTTTTGTCTGTCTGGAAGCATTTATCATCTGTTGAGATGCTGGGCAGCAGAGTGTCAGTGTGGACCACGGTTTTGGGTCTTTGTGATCAAAGCTTCCTGATGAGTAAGGCCTTTTTAAGAACATCAGTGTTGGGAGGAAAGCAGGCTTTGTTATGTCCCTGCTGAGGAGGTTATTTGTATTGCCCTGTGCACTCTGGATTGCAAGGAGCAGGGCGGGCAGTGCTGCTGCTGTGTTGGCAAGGGCTGCTCCACACACCGAGGTCTTCCCATCTTAATAAAGACAGTCAAAGCAAATAAGTGCAGGCTCTCCGTTGGCTCATTATTGCTTGTGCTTGTCACTTGTAATTGGAAATATGTTGTGTGGATTTTGCGTATTAACAGGCTTTTGCTATTGCACAGGACTGCGGAGAATTCAGAAGCTGTTTGAAAGTCAGGATGCTTTTTCCCGAGTCTCGGACCTGCTGAGGGTAAACAGCTCTGCCCTCTAGTGCCGCTTCCCGAATCTGTTAAACCGGAGCACATCGATGATCCTGGGAGCATGCCTCACCCAGGGCATCCCTTGGAGCACGCTGATCAGAGCCAGCCCAGGGCTGCTCTGCGCATCGTGCTGAAACCAGGCAGCTGCTCTGTTAGAAGGGCTTTAGCCCCATGCCAGGCAGGGGGAGCATGGCACATGTTGGCATATCCCCTGCACAGCATCCATAAGGTAATTTCTGTATTTTCCCTGAAGCAACCCCATTGAGCCTGCTATTTGTTTTCCCATAATGTTTGTTATGCCTTTGAGAGACATATAGAAGAGCTAAATGATGAACAGCCATTTCAGCAGCTTTGCTCTTTCAGCCCCATAAATAATGAATTCATCAGGGTGAGAAAACATGTGCCCAGACACAAACACATGCAGAGCTTTGTAGAGGAACGGAAGCTTGAGATTCAAATGCAGAGCCCTGTGCCAGCAAAATGGGAACTGCTTTTCGGAGTGGGACAGTGTCGGAGGGTGGGTATGGAGTTAATTGCCTCAAGAGGAGACAAAATGCAATTAGGGATGCAGGCAAGTGCTAGCTGAGCTCTGAAGTGAGAGGTTGCTACCTGGTTGGCTTTTGGAGAAGGCCATTAGCTCGAAGGGAACGTTTGCTTTATTGTCTGTCTTTAAGCATCAGCTGAAATAATCTGGTTGCGACTCAGCTTGCGTGGTGCTGGCAACCATCACCCCAACAAGGTACATGGGTGCGTTTTGAACCTGCTGGCCAGCTTCAACTCAAGAGGACAGGGTGGTTTCAAAGAGCCTGCATTCCTGGAAGTTTTGTGAGAGTGAATAAATAAATGAAACCCCACAATTCCCACAACTGCCCCTGCTGAGAGTCCTCGTAGAGGTAGCGTTTGCACAACTTTTTATGGACACCAGAGAACCCACAGTGGGGAGGACTGGAAAGGCAGCTCCAGGGTGCTTCCTTAGCCCCACTGCTCACAAACAAGTCATGAGGGTTGCATGGCAGGGCATTGCATTGCAGAACGTGCTGCTTCCAGGGCTAATGTGAGAAAGGAAGAGCTGGTTTCTTCCGCTTTGTTGGCATTTCAAATGGGCTAGGACAGCAGAGTGAGGGCTGTGTGTGCTGGCAGAGCATCTCGGCTGAGCCCTGCAGATCCAAGTCTAATCAGCTGAAATACAGAGCTACAAGTGCTAGCCAGGGGCTGGGGAGGCCGCTGGGATTCAATGCTTCATGCTTCTCTTTGCTCTGATGTATTTTGTCCAATTTCGCAGCACCGCCAGCTCCTGCCTTCAAAGAAGCGGCTGCCTGCTCTTTTGATCAACAATTACATGTGGCTTGACAGCACCAGCCTCTGTCAGAAGCCACGTCTCCTCTTTGGCCATGGGAGCATGCATGAAGGAGCCAGGCCTGCTACATGTGAGAGGTGGCACTGCTGAGTCCCTGCGGTGGCAGAGGAGTTTCAGGGCATCATCACCATTCCTCCTCTGCCAGGCTGGTTGTGCACCTCAGGGCTTGGCAGGGGCTCTTTTGCCTCTGATGCTTTTGGGTGCCTTTCCCTGAAGAACCCTTGTGCAGCAGGAGGTTTGAGCCCAGTAGTGTTGGGAGCTGCTGGGTGGGATGCTGGGCAGGGTGCGCTCACGAGTCTGCAAACCTGGCTTGCATTGGGAAGATAATAAGATGCAAATGGTTCACCTGGGCAACCTTAACAGGGTTTTGTTGGCATCTTTCTGATAACTCTGTTAAGTTCTTTTCTGCATAAACAGCAAAGAAAAATATACCAGCGTGCAGTTAGTCCTTCAAACACAAGTGCTTCTGGACAGCCAGCAGAGCACACAGGCAGCTCTTTGATTTATGAAACACTGAGGCTTCAGTTCTCTGGTCCATCTTAGCTTGATTTGCACTGGTAAGAGCTAGGGTGTTTTCATAAACTTTGATCATCTGCTTATAGTCTTGTCTAAAATTTTTCATAAGGCAGCTCCCAAGATGAGATCATCTTTTGTGGAGCTGGAAATCTGTTTGGGGAAGGCTGGACAATTCAATTTGGAGGCACTTTGCCACTCAGTGGGTGATGATGGGGGGGAAATTCATGCAGAGTTTAAAGATACTGAATTTCTGAGCTTAACTGGAATTTGTGGTTCTTCTGGTGGCATCAAACCCATAACTGCTTCACTATGCATAAACAGCCCAACAATCTGCATTGATTTTACTATCTTTTACTTTATTTTTCCTCTTGAAACTTGGACCATTTATGACAACTCTTGATTTTCTGTGTTTTTCTTGTTGACCTCTGAAGCAAGTAAAGATACAGAATCTGAGCTCCTTCCTGCTCCCCATAGATTTTGAGCTTCCTTAGTCTGTCTCAGCCAAATTTGACTGGGAGTAAATACTCTGTCACTGGGTTTTATGACCTTTGGTGGCTGGAATAAGTAGAGACCTCTTAGTATCTGGAGAGATTCATTGCAAAGCTGACAAACAGAAGCAGGGAGAAGGGAAACAGAGGCCTTAGTAATTCCTGAGATCAGGAAACGTTCAGCCAGAGCTTCCCTGGTAACTGCCGGTTCCCTTCTTATCCCCCTTTATATATCTGATCAGTGTCATGACGAAAGCTTAAATGTGAATGCAAAGGCAAGGTAATTTTGCAGGGCATCATTCCTACTAGTGCTACAGTCATTACAGGCTGAAATAATATAAGTACAGAGATAACAGTGAAGAGAGAGGGAAATGGAGAAGCGTGAGCAAAGAGAAAATAAGTTTTTAGCCTAGTTTTGGGAAGAAACAAAGCTAATGATTTGGAGCTCATCTAGATGGCAGCAGCAGGCATTACTTTTCCTACCAAGAGGGGTGATGTCTTTTTATCTCCTTTATTCTGTCTGCAGAATAAAGGAGAATTTAGCAATTGTCTGATTAGCTCCTTTAAGCCCCATCCACTACAGAAAAGGACTAGAAGTAGACTGAAGTGAGGTATCATGGATTTATATGTACTTTGGTTTATTCAAAACGAGTGCCTTGTGCTGGGCAGTTCATAAAATCAGGCTGATTTATCTGTCCTTATTCATAGAATAATGTTTGGGTTGAGCAGTTTTCATCTTGTTGCTGCTACAGAATGGCCAGGAAGGGAGAATGAAGGTGACAGCAGAGGGTTTGCCCCAGCCTGGAGACCAGCACCAGGGTTTGGGGCCATCAGCGTGCCCAGCCTGACCCCACTGCCTCCAGCTGATGGGAGTGAATTTTGGCAGCTCTTGGACTGTGTCATGGCCTGGGTGTGAGCACAGGGTGGCACCCCAGCTAAAGGCAGCACACAGATAGGCAGAGCCCTCCTGCTCAGCTACTCACTCAGGGTGGACCACAAATGTGGGAAGGGGCAAATAGCCCCCGGCATCCTCAGGAACTTGAGGCACATGTATTTTATGGGCTCTTTTGTCCTCTGCCCTCTCCTATGGCAACAAACCTGGTGCACTGAGTACCTTGGGAAGGCTGCAGTCTTTTGCCCCAGAGATGGTGCCAACCAGGGGATGTTTTGCATTTGGTGTAGGCAGCTCCTTTACCTTTTTTCTTCTTCTTTTTTCCATTTTTTTGCATGTGAATCCTAGTCAAGGTAGCTAATAAAGTCAGCAGCTGCATAGTTAATAGGAGAAGGTCTCCATGCTTGCAGGGGTCATTTGTTAGTGAGGCTGAGCACACACAGTGCATGCAGAGGTGCTCACTCTGCTGCCTCACTGCTGTGCCAGATGGAGACGTCAGTGAGGATGGACACAGGTGGGCTGCTTGGTGTGATGGGAAATAATCAGCAGAGTATTAGTTTTAGGGTGAAGTAAATGGGCTGTCCAGCTGTAGCTGCTGTAGGGAGGAAGTTGAATGTTAATTAGATGCCTCCAGTAATTATGGTGATTATGTATTTTTTGAGTGGCTGTTGGGAATAGCTAGATTCACATCCAGAGGGGGATGTGAATGACATTTCTAATCGCTTTAAGGAAGAGAGAAGGTACTTTTGTTTTAAACAAGGGCAATTACAGTAAAACAAAGCTCCAGCAGAATCCAACGAGCTATCAGTGGTTTGATGTAACTGCTCAGGAAAAACGTGTGTCGGTTGAAGGAAGGGAAAATGCTTTGTGTCTGGTACAAGATACACACATCCTGCTTTTCTGCATAGAAAAAACAGACCATGGCAGAGATGGGACACGCACCTGTTCTTCCGTCTCCTCGTGCATTTTCTTAACTGAGAGACAAGCAGTCCTCTTGAAAACAACTCACAGTTTATTTTGCTGGCTTTCAGGCCTGTCTGATGCTTCCTCCCCTTCTTGCACAGATAAACAAAGGTGATGCCAGTAAAATTCATGGAAGCAGTGATTTTGTAAGAGACTGTTATTTTGTGTTATTTGCAGGCATTTCAATTTTAATATTTAGACCAGAAACTTAATTTCACAGGCTTGTCCATACACAGGGCTACTCTGAAACAGTTGCTCCATGCGTATTTATGTAGGCATTGCGATAAAACAAATGCCCATATTCAAATCTATTCAGGAATAGCTGTTGTGCTCAAAATTCCATTTTCCTTTCAGTGTTTTCTTTCAGTTGTAGATCAAGCCTCTCACTTAAACCCACTAGTTAAGAAGTGAACTCATTAACATGCCACCCACTGTGTCTGATAACCTAACTAACACCTTCGATCTCAGACAGTCACAGCTCAAGTTCACTCTTAGCATTATTTGTCGAGATTATTTGTAGAATAGATTTGCATAAATTCCAAACAGGCGTGTTCTGGACACACAGCCTTTTGTGGAATACTTTACTGGAAATGGCTGCTGTGCAGCAGTGTTGTCTTCCATGCAAACCCATTTTAGTGTTCCTAAGGGTTCCTCACTTCGAGAAATAACAACAAACACTTCAATGCATTTTATATGCACAAAACCATGCACAAGCCCAAGCACCATGAGCTGATTTGTACAGAAACCCTCCGATGGTTGGACAAGCACAGTCTTCTGCGATCCACAGGGAAGGTCCACCTAAAGCACTTGTGCAGCTGCCTAACCTGAGACTTAAAAATGCACCATTCCCCTTCATTCGCAGGGGAAATACAGTACATCACCACTGACTTTCCTGGAGCTGGTGTTTGGAAGACCCCTGCTGCTGATGATTCAGGTAAGATATTGCCTGGTTTTTACATCAACAATGTTACTTGCTACCAGGGGAATGACTGATTTTTCTGAGCATGGGGACCATACAAGATACCCTCATGACATTCAGTGGTCAGCTTGTCTCAAACAGAACTAAATAGATACCCAGCACAGTGGCATAGCCACCTTCTTGGTCTTGCACTGTCTGCCTGGGCGTCGATTGAAGAGGTGTAATCTCCAGATGGCCAACCCCTCACTTTCCTCCAACTTCCTTCTCCATGTGGAGGTTCTTTAGTGATTCCTGGTCTTGTTACATGGGACAGCCTACTTCTCTGGGTGTGACTAGAAGTCGATCCATTACAGAGCCAAAGTGCAAGTGTTCTGCACCGTGAGATGAGCACGTGCAAACAGCTCCTCTGGCGTGCCTGTCGCGTGGTGTGACCTTGTCAAAAGCAGCTGTGCTTCGTTTCCATAACAGGTGTAGCTGCATGGCAGGGGAAGGATTGCATGTCTGGGGGAGCTGCAGCAGTGGGGTGCCCCACATCTGGGAACAAGCCTTGGGCTAACATCTGGTTGAAAACTTTTGGTGGGTTGGATGTTTCCATGGCTATACAATTTGCCAAAGGAAAGGCTCCCCTCTGAAGTGCAAACACGACAACCCTTGCATTCCTTAATTATTTCTATCTAGGAAAGCTGATTGAACTTTCTAGGCATTTAGGCCTCTTTGATTGAACTACGTTCAATAAAAAGCAGGTGGCAAGATGAATGCTTTGCTTTTTGCAGCTAAAATCCCATGTCTAATTAAATCTTATGGAAGCAGGAATGCACTTTTTTCCTTTTTCCCTGGTCAATGAGTCAATTGAAATACATTTTTACCCTTTTATCTAATTCAGGGACTAGTGAGACGCTGCACACATTTTCTTGCATGCTCAGACTTGTGTGCAAACTTGAAAGCTGGGCTTGCCTTGATTTACCCAGTGCTTACACAGCCTGTGCTCTCTTCTTCCAGATTCCTCCTGAAGGATCTGCTGCTGGTTGATGGGAAGTTGTCAAAATGCATTGTGCCACTTCAGGAGGAGCACAGGGTAGCCTGCGACTCTTGTTCCTCCTCTTCGAGGATGAAGAGTTGACAAGTTTAAAGGGACACACCATGAGCAGCTGAGTCTGTGGGAGATGGAGGAAGATCAGGAACCTCTGACAGCTTTTGAGGCTTTGAAGAATCGGACCCCAGGAATGTTCATCTAGATATTAAGGCCTGTGTTTATAAGAGCAATTGCTTTGCCATGTTCTCCTTGAGGACCTGGCTGAGCATCCAAAGAGGAGGTATGCATTGTCACTTCTGGTAGAGGCAGGTTGGCTGATGTGACTGTATCTGTTCTGATGCTTTGAGCTTCTCGGCATGCTGTGCCATCACCAGCACTTGTTCCTATAGCAGTTTTTGTTGCTCCTGTGCCCAGTAACTTCTGTTTGGGGTTTACTCTTCTCTTCTCATTCTGTACTTGGACACAGAGGTAGTTCTCAGTCTTGCAAATGGGCTTGCTTCAGCCCTGGCGTGTTGGTGCTTCCCTCCTTCATTCTTTCTATGTCTGGTGCAGATGTGGAGGCTCTGCCCACTGGCCAGGGGCCGGCAGCTCACTGATGGAGCCATCAGCACGGTAACTTTGGCTGTATCAGTTTCTCTCGGTCTCTGCAGCTTTCTGGGTTAGGAGATCCATCAGCCTGAGGGTTTATTTGCACTAACACCATGGGTGAGAAAACAAGCACTGCATCAGGCCATGTTTATTTTATATCTCAGGAGCTGCTGGGAGCTGTGTCAGCCAAGGCAGTCCCACGGGCCCTGCTGGCTCCAGGGATCTAGTCCTGCTGTCTGCAGGCTGTGAGGACCATCTCTTGGGAGGCAGTCGTACACACTGCCCCCTGCCTAAGCTCCAGCCCCTGGGAACACCAGAACTCTCCAGGCTGGGCTTGCTGGGAGCTCTCCTGGTTTTCCTGAGGGTACCGTGGTGCCGCTTGGCAGCCCAGGCAATGGCATAAATGATTTTCTGTCCTCTTGTCTCAAACATTAAAGAGACTACAGTGATGGAGAGAGGAAGGAATAATGCAGCTCAGGGAAGAGCTGTGCTCCTGCAGGGGTTGCACTGGGCACACTCATTCCCCCAGTGCACGCAGAGGGTTTTTTTAACCCTGGGATCCCTCTTTGGTGCTGGCAGGGTGTCTCAGGCTTGTGTGGGCAGCAATAGTTCCCGTATGGCTGCAGAGTGTGCTGAGGCTGGTTCCTCTGTGCTTTGGGGTGAGGGAGATGGTCCATCCCAAGATTGGCTCCAGCTCCAGACCATGAGTGAAGGCTGCAGTGCCACAGCTCTGTGCAGTATTAGCTGCCTGTGGCTGTAATAGTCAGGGTGATGGCTCTTCCAGGAGGAAAACACCTCAGCTGAAGCAGTGTTCCCCATGGACACATCGGTGTGCTTTGTGCTGTCACGCTGCGCATCAGTCACAGCAAAGAGAGTGGCTCTAGCGGCGGCTGAGTTTGTGATGAGGATGTAGCAAGCGCGATGACTCCAGAGCTGGTTCAGGTTCGTGCAGAGCCCTGGTGCTGGCTCCCCTCTGGCATGGACACGCCGGGCCCTCGCTCTGGGACACTGCTTTGGGATAAGTGCTGTTTCCAATCTGTTCCTCGCCAGCTGTCAGCAGTTTCTGTGTGTGCCCACCAGAGAGCAACCCCAGCACAGGGTTGTTGTCTCCAGAGAGACAGAGGCTGAGATGGAAGGTCTGGGTGTGAAGCCAAATCCATCTTCTCTCACCCTTTCCAGCCCTGTACCTCATCCCAAACCTGAGCTAAGCAGTGAGTTTGGCCTCATGGTGTCCTGGGCAATAGGAGCATTCCTCTGGGCAGGGAGGATGTGCTGGCACGTGAAGCTCTGGCAAGAGACCCTGCCTGGGTCTTCTGCAGGGAAGGACTGGACCACGAGTTAGCAAGGAGCATCAGTCCAGTGCGCAGGGAGCAAGCAGGGGCTCAGGCAGAGCTTACAAAACTTGGATGGGTAAAAGGCTGGTGCTTTATGCAATCTCCTCAATTAAATGAGCACAGTTGTGTGCTCATCTCACAGAATCATTCAGGCTGGAAAAGACCCTTAAGATCAAGTCATTGCCTATCTTTAGTGCTTGAACACGTAGCTGGGTGTCTCAATGCGGTTTTATATGTGTCAGAGCATAGTGTTTGGGGAAGGAGGAAGCCCGTGCTTATCATGCAAGTCAGTGCTGGCATGAAGTCCCAGGGTAGGCAGTCACATCTGGGCTGCAGGTAATGTTCAGCTGTGCAACATCTTACCTGAGCTGCCCGTATCAGCAGGGAGAGATGGACAGGATTTATCCTATCCAGGACAGGGGGACAGAATTGTCTGCTGGAAGGATCTGTCCCTCTCCTCCATGCTTTGCTTGAGCCAGAGAAGCAGCATTCACGTGTTGTTGGGTGCAACAGTTCATGGCATTGCTAAACTGCAGCCCTGGTACCTGCAGAAAGGGGCTTTGAGAGGAAGCTGAGGGAAGAAACAACCTCTTGCTATTTTTATCGCTGTACCAGCCCCTGGGGATTTCGATTGACAGGATTAGTTATGAAGCCAATATTATGAGTTTAACTATGAGTGAAATAACACAACTTCTGTGGGAAGCAGAGTAAAAGAAGCAATTATACAGTAGTTTAATAATAGTGCTCTGCTGGCTGGGAAGCTGAAAACTTATGGTTGACAGTAATTAGATTTTTTCATTCTTCCTGTTAAATAGCTATAAAAATTACAATAGAAATTCATCTGTTTCTCTTTTATTCCATGCTGTTTTTATCATCCAGTTTGTGCCCATTTGGCCTTCAGATTATAATTTTATATGTTTTTAGTGTCTGGTATTTAAGACATGCAGAAACAGCATTTAATGCTGAAAAATGCAGAAAGCCTGAAGAATAAGTGGGTGGCAGTAACACTCTTCTGAGCATTCTTCTTGCAAGCTGTTTGGAGGGACAGTGAGGGCTTTCCAAATTGTCTTACCCTGAATCACAGCTAGACTTCTAACCACAGGAGTTATTCCAAATCATTTAAAATTGCAGTAAAAATTAGATGTTAGAAATTGAAGTACTCTTTTTGCCTGCCTGTTACTGTAATGGACTGTGTGTAGATGAACTGCTGGGGGGGAGGCAGCGAGGTGCTGGGGTACCTCACTCTGCATACTGGTTGCTTGCTGCCCTCACTTCCCTGGTGAGATGGGAGTCGATGTGGTGATCTGGTTTGGGGCTTTGCTCCCACCTCGGGCTCTGTGCTGGTAAGGCAGCGTGAGTGACAGGGGGGTATTTGTCAGCTGGCAAGGAGCTCGGCTTGTACTAATTCAAGCAAGAGCCTATGGGGCATCACCTCTTCCCAATCTTTGCTGCTCCTCTGCAGCCCCGCAGTGTTGTGGTGTGTGCTGACAAGCAGGGGCTGTACAGGCATCTCATCTCCCTGTCGTTTACATCACAAGTGATGCTTAGCTGTCAGCTGCCCTCCTTTCAAGCACTGTCCTTTGTTTGTGTCTAGACAGAAGTGAGTTTTCTCTTATGCCATTAAAACTGGAATTACTTTGGCAGCTGTGGGTTTCCAAACTTGCAGGGTGAAACTTGATGAGCCAGCAAATGTGTGGCACTTGAGCTACCTATGATCACAGCTTGAAAGTGTTATACAGAATAAAGGAAAGAGCTCTCAGGTTTGCTCTCATCATTGAAAGCTCAGGTGCTTGGAGGCTGAAAGTATTCTTCCTCTTGTTCTCTTTTATTTTATAATGTGAAAGAGCCAGGCATGATAAATGGTATCCCGATGTTGTGAAGGGGATTGAGTGTGAGGTGATGTGTTGCAGCTCTGGTGCCTGGTGTGATCACTGACACATGCAATAAACAGGCTGTGCAGCAGCAGTGTACCTCTTATTTGATGTCTTTTCCTCTGCAATGGCAGAAACAACACAGTTCAACTTCACACTTATGTTTTAGTTTTAAAACACACTGGAGATGCCCAGAGCCATTAACAGGGCAGAGGCCACTTCCAGGTATGCTGCTATCCCATTTGCTTCCACTTCAACAGAAATACACTGTGCAAATGCTGTGCAAATCTGTGGCAGATGCAAATGCTCCAGATGGTACTGGGAAAAGTGCAAAAGAAAGATTTGTTTCCAGCCCTTCCTCACTTTAATAAAATTTCATTCATCTCCCTAGTAGAGACTTTCTTTTCTAGGGGCTTTTACAAATGCATCCCTCCTTTCTTTCTGAGCTTGTGCCCTTGAGCTCATCCCCATGTCACTGGAAGGCACCCTGCTTGTTGTTGCAGTCTGACATCTGATGCCCGTGCTTTCCATCACATCATTCTGGTGCTGGGATCATGCTCTGTAAGAACTGGGTATAATCCATTAATCGGGGTGTCCAGATGTGCCTGTGGTGGGGCCAGTTGCCAGGTTTGGGCCAGGTAGTGGTGGTTCATGGGGTTTCAGCACCCAGCCATGCACTGGTGTGGTGCAGTGCAGACCTTCAGTGCATGCTGAGATAAATAAACCCTTGTGCCCTGGGTTCCCACCACCTCAGTGTAACTGCAGGAGGGGCTGCACCTACCCTGATGCTGCTCTTGGGCTTTGCCTGCTGCCCAGGTATGCAACGTTCTTCTGCAAAGCCAATGTAGAAGAACAGGGAGGCTGAAAGCAGTCACCCTCTGGGGGTGGCTCAACCCATGGGGCACTACCTGCACCTAAATTTGGCTTGGGAGGATGAGGGAGTGGAGAGCTGTCATCTCCCCCATTAGCTCCATCTGGAATGACATGTGTGCTCCTGATTGTGTGCTGTGCTGATGCTCATACAGTGCCCGAGTCACCACCCTGCATTAGCTTATTCCAGCACATTTCCTTGTTACAAAATTAGATCCACTTTGCAAATTGCTGCTGCACTAGTAATGGAATTGAAAGGGGGGGTGTTTGTTGTTTCTCTATTTTTTTCTCTATTTTTTTCCTTTTTTCACTGGGGTAAATCAGGAATAAGTCAACAGAATCAAGCCCTTAGTGCTTTCAGCAACATGCTCATTTAAATTGGATGCAAGAGGGTGTCTGTGTTTACATTTGGCCTGCCAAGAATCTCTGTTTCAGAAACTGGCTTACATAATATGTCAAAATTGGTTTACTCATTAGCATTGCAAACTGCATGAAACAAGCCACAGATTGATAAACTCACAGCAATATTTTGCAGCCAGAGCCGAAAGGCACAGGGGGACAGGAGATTCATCAGGAAATGTTCCATTTCCATGGGAAAAACCAATGGTTTCCAGTTATGTGTCTCAGACTTCATTGATTTTTTTAGTGTCTTCCTAAATTTAGATAAAGATTGAGAAACAAATATGAAAATCTCTGCTAGCAAACAGGAGCCCATCTTAGTATTTCCTGGGCTGATGGATTATGTGCTGCAGCAACTCCAGGCTGGACCATTCTCCATTCCTCGGCTGAGGCTGTACCCCCTCTGCCAGGCTCCATCCTGTTCACACAGCCACTGCTGCCTTGACTGATGTTTTTGCTATAGCACAGGTGGAATGGAGGCTCTGATATTATTAATTAGCTCCTCCAGATGTTGAGCAGGCACAGATGTTGTAGCACGGTCCAGTGGTTTCGTGGTGCTGCTGCCTCCTTTTTCCTTAGCCTGGCCAGGGTGAGCATGGGTGCAGTACAGCCTCAGGCAAAGCTGAGGACCATGATGCTGAAAGACCAATAAACTTTCATCACTGCCATGTGGTGTGTGATTTTATAGGCATCTGTAAATCTGCACACACACATGAAAGCATGAACAGTGCTTCTAGAGTAATATGGGCAAATAAATATAGAGTAAAGCAGCAGTGAGAGTGTCCAAGCATAACCGGTGCTTTTGGGCTTCCACTATGTGGCCTTTACACAGCCTGCGGTGGGCTGGGGGAAGAGACAGCAGTGAGTGATGGGTAGCCAGAAGAGCAGCCCTGTCTCATGCTGGTCTCATGCAGATCCCTCCTGTGACTACTGCTGTACTTGGGGAGAAGCCTCTTCCCAGGCTGCAGCCCTAACCATTACTGGTGTCACTGCATCCCTTTTAGCTGCAACCCTCCTACAGGCAAGGGTTAAATGTCTTCAAACCCTGAGTGATGTGGCAAAGCTGGTGGAAATCTGCTGGGTGTGTACAGCTTTTCAGTGGTATCTAAAGGAGTTTGGGGCTTAAATCCCAGGGATCTTTTTAGTTTGCTTTGAAACTCCTAACTGAAGAATCAGAAGTGGAAAGCTCTGATACAGAGAGAGAGATGGCACAACAGCCCTGGTATTGGTAGCATCTGGTTTTATGCTTGGGGATCCTGAGTGCCCCATCCAGTGCTTCAGATGAATTTTTGGCATGATATCTAGTAAAGCTGAAGAAAGCACCAGCCTGCAGTGCTGCAGGGTCCGCTGCAGCCTAACAAGTGTTTTGCCTTGTCAGCAAACACCAGCACGTCCTCCTTCAACAGCGTTAAACCTAATCCGCAACATTCATGGCATGTCATGGGCAAAAAGCAGACTTTGATCTCCTTATGCTGTGGATTCCGTGTTGCAGCGTTGTTTGAAGGACCTGTGTGACAGGACAGGTCATCACTTGCTGCAACACATCATGCTGTTTAAAACTGCATCCTGTATCCTCACATCCCACAGAGGTACCCAGGTGGGCACATATTTTAGAGGGCTGACACAGCAGCTCCCAGCGGCGCCTCTGCAAAACTATTTTAATGGATGTTTCATAAAGTTTTCAGAAGAGTTTGTGAGTTGAAATAACAGCAGTTGTTAGCTGTGGGAAGGGGAAATAAAATTATCTCATTGGAAAATGAAAATGAGAGGTGTTTGCATTTCACTTACTGTCACACCTTGCAGCAAGAGGCTGGTCACCATGAGATACAGTGAGTTTCA